AATAGAAAATAAAATAAAAATGGCTGAGTGTAGAGCTCAGTGCGAAGGCACTGGGTCCCACCCTCAGGAGAAAAACAAGATGAAAATGTTCTCCCATTTAGTTCAGTTAAAGCCGAGGTGCCCTGGCTCCTCCCATTCACCTGCTCCAGCATTGGGGGAGTTCAGATGACTGTCAAGGGAGACGTGGCTGAGCCCTGAAGAGTTGGCTTTCATTGAAAGTAAAATGTGAGCTTTTACATAACAGATGAGACAACACAGCTTGGTTTGCTTTGTTGGTTTGCTCCGGTGTACAACTGTAATCCCAGCACTGAAGCAGGAAGATCACAGTGAGTTCAAGGCCAGCATGAGTGATCATGTGAGTTTAAGGCCAGCCTGAAGTACAGAGTAAGACCCTGTCTCCAAAAAATGTTATGAAATGACATAACTCAGTGCAATACATAAGGGGTGATGGAAAATTAGCACATTTAGAATGAAAACAAAAATCAAATCCTGGCTTTATAGATGTAGCTGTAGTACGAATGGTAGTGTGGCTAAGGCAGGAGAATCTGGAGTTCAAAGTCAGCCTGGGTTACCTACAAAGGTGAAAACCTAGGAGAACATAGCAAGACCTCAGGTCATAGAAAACAGAACACTTACAGTATCCCAAACCTATCTATCTGAAGAGACAAAAGCCACAGAATCCATGGCACCATCTGCTACTTCTGTGCCCACAGGACCTTGGCTGAGGGTGGGGATGTGAGACCTCCTCATGGAGGCCGGGGACTCACCAGGTGCAGACTCAGGTGACAGTGACGGGGCTCCAGGAATCCAGGTAGGACCTGCGGTGCTGGGAGCTCCAGGACTGGGCAACTCCTCTTCTGTCTCTCTCCTTTTATCCCCCTTGTTAGCTACACCCTCTCCTCCCTGTTCCGCCCTTCCCAGCAAACTCAGATCCCTGATTGGCTGACGCCCTCTCCACCCAGTTAATCCTGGTGGGGCTCAGGGTTTTCTCCATGCTCACTGGTTCTCGCAGAACTGGAGGTGGGAATGGAGGAATTCAGGATAGAAAGTCAAGGATTCAGTCACTGATTGACACCAAACGCAGATAAGTGTTAATAACATGTGGCAGCTGCATGTGTGTGTGTGAGACAGAAAAGGAAGTAACAGGGTCCTGACCTTGGGCAGGAATGGCCCCTGTAATGGGATGTTTGGCTGCACCCAAATGTGACGGTTCCAGAGTTAAAACCAGTGTGCAGTCTCCAGGTGCTGTGGATGGAGGCCACAGTCCCAGCAGCTTTTCGTACAGGAGCATGGGATTAGCCTGTGCAACAAAGAAAATCTCACCTCTGAACACAAGACACAAAGAACAAAACAAAAGGAGCGGGCCGTGATGGCCTATACCTGTAATCCCAGCACACTTGGTGGGTGAGGCAGGCTGGCCACAAGATTAGGTTCAGCCTGTGCAATTTAGTGGGTACAAAAGATCTCCTTAAAAAGTACAAGTGACCAGGTGTGGTGGTGCACACCTGTAATCCAGCTGAGGCTGGAGGATGGCTGCCATTTCTAAA